ACCTTCGAATGTGAGGATTGGTACAACTAAGCAGCAAGGTGGACTTTTCATTCTTGATCATCAAGACCACAATTCTATCCTACCTCAAGACAAGTCTTTCAACAATACTGCAAATCATATCTCCATTAGAAATTCCAATTCTTCTTTGTTATGGCATTTACGTTTAGGACATGTTTCTCATACTTGTTTGAAAAGTATATCAATAAAATTTCCCTTTATACTTTCTTCTCATCCTACACCTTGTGATACTTGTCATTATGCAAGACAAAGAAAACTATCTTTTCGAAACAGTGAACATAAATCCAAGTCTATATTTGAATTACTCCATACTAACATTTGGGGTCCATACTCTATTAACTCCATTCATGGTCATCGCTATTTCCTTACATTAGTGGATGATTTTTCTCGTTTCACATGGATCATTTTAATGAAAAATAAACATGAAACCAGAAAACACATTCAGAACTTTGTGAACTTCATTGAGAACCAATTTCATACCACACTTAAAACTATCAGATCGGATAATGGTGTTGAGTTCCTTATGACAGAATTCTATTCTCTTAAAGGCCTTATTCATCAAACCACATGTGTTGAAACTCCCCAACAAAATGGAGTTGTGGAACGTAAACACTAACATATCCTTAACACAACTAGAGCACTTCTGTTTCAATCAAACCTCCTAACCAATTTATGGTCATATGTTATCACACATGCTGTACACATCATAAATAGGCTACCTTCACTCACCCTAAATCACAAATGTCCTTATGAAGTCTTATATGGTCAGTCACCCTCCCTCCTACACTTGAAACCCTTTGGTTGCTTATCATATGCATCCACCATCACTGCCCATCGCAGAAAATTTGATCCTAGAGCAAGAAAAAACATCTTTCTAAGATACAGAGAAGGGACAAAAGGATATATCCTTTATGATCTCAATCACAAAGAGATTTTTATATCTCGACATGTCATTTTTCAAGAACTTGTTTTTCCTTACACTCAACAAATTCATTCATTCACATCTGTTCCTTCAAATATTTCTCAGAATCTTTATCAAAATCCCCTATTATTTGAAGACATGCTTCCATTTCAAAATCCTCAACTACAGCACGTACAGCCAAACACAAATGATATTCAAATCAATCCTACTGGTCGCAGATCAGTAAGAATTCGTAAGCCACCATCATATCTACATTACTTTCACACCAATGGTCTATCTGCTGCTTCAGCTGTAACATCCCACAATAACACGGGTAATCCAAAATACCCTCTCCATTCTGTTTTGTCTTACAATATTTGTTCTCCTTCATATACTCAATTCTGTTGCAATGTCACTACCAATATAGAACCAAAAACTTACTCACAAGCTGCAAAATCACTGCAGTGGCAGCAAGCCATGCAATCTGAGCTAGATGCTCTTGCATTAAATCATACATGGTCCATTGTTGACTTACTTGTTGGGAAGAAACCCATTGGATGCAAATGGGTATTCAAAATAAAGTATCATTCGGATGGATTAAATCATATATGCAGCTCCCACCAGGCATGAAAAGCTCCAATTCTAATCAAGCTTGTAGACTACAGAAAAGCTTGTATGGATTGAAACAAGCAAGCAGACAATGGAATGCAAAGTTGTCTTCCTTTCTCACATCACTTGGTTATATCCAATCACCAGCAGACCATTCCCTTTTTACTCTTCGAAATGCATCTTCATTCACTGCTCTATTAGTGTATGTGGATGACATTGTTTTAGCAGGAGAAACCCAAGATGAAATACTAAGAGTCAAAACCCATCTTGATCAACAGTTTCGAATCAAAGATTTGGGTTCTCTGAGATTTTTTTTAGGTCTTGAGATATCACGATCCAAGGCTGGCATCATCCTAAACCAGCGCAAATATGCTCTTGAGATCCTCTATGATACTGGTCAACTTGCTTCCAAGCCTGCAACAACACCAATAGACCCTAACACCAAGCTAAGCTCTGATCAAGGGACACCATTACCTGATCCTGCTTTCTATCGAAGACTCATTGGAAGACTATTGTATTTGACCACAACAAGGCCTGATCTGTCCTTTTCAGTCCAACAACTAAGCCAGTATGTTGCTAAACCTACTGACTTACACTACACAGCAGCCTTGCGTATTGTTCGTTTCCTCAAGACCTCACCAGCATCTGGTCTTCTCTTTTCATCATAATCTTCAATGCAGCTGAGTGGCTTTGCTGATTCGGATTGGGCATGCTGTCCAGATACCAAAAAATCAGTCACGGGTTATTGTGTCTTTCTGGGATCTTCTTTGATCTCTTGGAAATCGAAGAAACAGACAACTGTCTCAAGGTCCTCAACCGAAGCCGAATATAGAGCTTTGGCTACACTTTCATGTGAAATCCAATGGTTGCATTATTTACTCAAGGATTTTCAAATCCCACAATCCAAACCAGCAGCTGTGTATTGTGACAATGCTTCAGCAGTCTATTTGGCTCACAATCCTTCTTTCCATGAAAGAACAAAGCATATAGAGATAGATTTCCATGTCACAAGAGAACGCATTCAATCTGGATTGATTCATCTCCTGCCTGTTTCATCAGACAACCAGCTCGCAGATTTCTTCACCAAAACCTTACATGTGAACCTATTCAAGATTTTTCTCTCCAAGCTCGGTCTTATGGACATCCATCGTCCAGCTTGTGGGGGGTATCAGAATCTTCAATAGCCACTGAGTCTGCAGCTGATTCCCATCACACTGATTATGTTATTACCGTTAATTCTGTTATGTAGCTAATGTGTATATATATAGGATACTGTGAGAGCATTGTAACTAATTGGTTCTTTGAGTCCTTTCTCATTTTCACAATATAGAAACTGTTATTGTGTTCTCTCTGATAAGAATAATTATTTACTAACGAAGGGGCACAATGGTCAAAAGAACCTAAATAAGCACATATAAAAGAGAAGCAAAATCAAGGTACAAAATGAAATTTGTTGGTAAATTAAATTAACCAGCAATATGAATCATTTCACCTTTGATCTGTATATACCTCCACATTCTGAATTTTTACCTGTGTCAACAGGTTATTAAGTGTAGTGTGTATTTTATATGTTATTTGATTCATTAACTCAATATACATACAATTTATATAAGTTTTTATTCAAAAAGATACACCAATTAAGAGCATAATATATTCTTAACTGTTATAAAACTAAAGGAAAAAGATAATTAAAAGAATTATAATAAATATAAGAGAGAAAATTACAACAAAATGATAGTAATGTATTTTATTGTGTTTTGTGTTACACTCTTTATATATAAGTTCTAATTATAGGCTCTCAAACATCATAACTTATAATGGAATAATGATAAATTTAATATTTGATTGAATTAAATATTTTGGCATTATCTCATTTGGGGTTATGGACATTTTCATCAATATTATTTATAAAAATAATTAATAATTTACACCATAAAAAATATATAATCTCAAATATTAAAGAAAGTTTTCCTTTTTTCCATAACATAACATTACCGTGTTCTGAAAAAAAAAAAAAATCTTAATCTATCAATTTTTTTTCTTTTCTTTTGTAGTTAAGAGAATAAATTATTTAATTCCAAAATTTATTTTTTAAATTAAATTTAATCTGTTCATTCTAGGCGCAAATAAAAATAAGCCAATAAATTAAGGGTTCGTTTTTTCTGCAGTTACTGCAGATAAGTTATCTGCAGTAAGCCAATACGACGTCGTTTTGGGACGAAAATCATGGTATTTTTGTAATTTTAATTTATTTTAGGGTTATAATAGTCTTTATATTTATAATTTTTTAAGATTTAAATACCAAAATGACGTCGTTTTGAAAATAAATACAGATAACTTCTCTGCATTAACTGCGGAAATATTTTTCCCATAAATTAATATCTAGTGTACAACTTTAACTCTTTAAGATACACGTCACTTCATATTACATAGAAAATGAAGTAATAGAATTAAATGTAATTATAAAAAAATGAAAGTGAAAAATATATAATTAAATAAAACTTCATTGCTTACTGCACTTAAGTTCATTCGCAGCCAAAATATTACTACCAAGAAGAAAAAAGAGAGGAGACGACGCCATTTACAACTGAATTGCCCTTACCTTCTTGGTGATATTGCTCTCAAACTCAACTTGACTTCTAGTTTCTTTTTCTTTTTTTAAGTTCTAAAAAAATTAATTCTAAAAATTAAAACGTCACGACAAAACTTTTTTCAAAATGGATAAAAAATTATATGGTACAGCAATGCTTTTACTATAATTGTTCATCCTCCCAAACCAGTTACCTTACACCTACACACATTTAGTCTGTTTTGTTGAGATTCCGTGATACGGGTCTTATTTGTTTTTTGTTCTGAAAAGTTATTTTTGTTAAAGATAGCAAAAAAACTAGTTTAATAACATGTGTTTTGTATCAACTCTAATTAGAAACAATAGCTCCTCCAACCTCAAGATATGGTTTCCACATAAAGGCTGAGTCAGCTTATCTAATATCTATTACTATCCTCTCTCTTTTTTTTTTTTGGTAATCAATTACTATCCTTTTTAATAATAATAATAATAATAATTTTTAGTAGTCCCTCCTCAAGAAATCACATATTGCTGAGAGCCAAATTCAATTAATTTTGTTAGCTAAATCAAACAAGCTATTTAATTGGTTTTTCTAGAATTGGAAACATGATAACATTTTTTCCTTAAAAAAAACACAATTATGGTCAAGTTCGAAAGCAACAATTCTATTTTCCGAAAAAAAGAAGAAGCAACAGTTCTAATTATCCAAGAGTAACAATTATTATACTTATGTTAGGAAGATTTAAGACCACAAGAAGTTTTTTTCCATTGAGGACTCCAAGCTTCCATATTACCCGCCAAGGACTTCTCTATTGGTATATATATACCTTCTCATCCAAGTTTGAAGCCATGTCCATTTCATAGTAATTTCTTTTCCATTATCTCCAATTTTTCTGATCCACTATGCAGAAGAAAAGGACCATCCACATTGAGCAACCTGACCTTGGTTTGTTTTTTTGTGCCATTTTTTTGTTTCAATTTTGGGTCCTAGTCTAGCACAAAATGCAATCATAATTAAGGTCACAATACATGCTTTCAGGGTCACGACTTGTTGAAGAGAAAAATGTGCATTCCGAAGAAACCAAGGAGCTTGAGTCACAGGGTGGATTTAAAACCCAAGAAATCAATGCATTTGGCCACTCTTTCAGGTTTCAATTCCATTTCACATTTCTTTTTTTATAAATGGAACCTTATAGTTTATAGCCTTAAAAACCTTTTTTTTTTTAATTAAATTTTTTTTTTAAACTGAGATGAGACAATGGGAAATATTTGGCAGAAATTATGATGCAGAAAGCGAAAGGCAAAAAGGTGTGGAGGAATTCTATAGGTTGCAACACACTCACCAGACATATGACTTTGTAAGCATAGTTTATTTTCATCAAACACGTGTCTATACTCACTAGGCGATTTCATAGGAAGAAAATACAATGCTGACCAAAATTCAATTTTTGCTGAATGCTAATACAGGTAAAAAAAATGAGGGAGGAATATAAGAAATTGGACAAAGCAGAAATGAGTATATGGGAATGTTGTGAGCTGCTTAATGAAGTGGTGGATGAGAGTGATCCTGATTTAGATGAACCTCAAATTCAACATTTGTTGCAATCAGCTGAGGCCGTGAGAAAAGATTACCCTAATGAAGATTGGTTGCATTTGACTGCTCTCATCCATGGTAAAAGCAATTTTTTATTTTAAAATTTTATTCTTATTTTAATTTTTTTCGTATTTTTCTTTTGGGTTCATCTGTCACTCACCCTAATTAATTTTGGATAAAGGTATTATTGATGTTGATGATTAAACCTTATGAGTATGCTAGCTAAAAGGTCAATTCAAAATTTAAGGGCATAATCATCTAAAAATTAAAAATTTATGAGTACTGGGAGAATAGCCAAGGGTAATTTAAACTGGGATTAACCAATGAGTCTTGGCTTTTTTCAGATCTTGGAAAGATTCTTCTCCTTTCTAAGTTTGGTGGGCTTCCTCAATGGGCTGTTGTTGGTGAGAACTAATTCTAAAACTTTATTATTATAACTTTATCTCTCAAGATGATGGATAAACGATAGATCCCTTAACTTTTAATTCAACTTTTAACTAAATGGTTAATCACATTTATATTTGCAGGAGATACATTTCCTGTAGGCTGTGCCTTTGATGAATCAAATATTCACCAGAAGGTAATTAATTATTTAATTTCTTCTAAGAAACCTGCTAATGAAACTACTTTTTCATCTTAAAATTATCAACTGATCGAATTTTAATTCCTGCCACAGTATTTCCAGGACAACCCTGATAGCAAAAGCTCTGCTTATAACACTAAAAATGGGATCTACACTGAGGGATGTGGACTAGATAATGTAATGATGTCATGGGGACATGATGATTATATGTATATGGTAAGTATATACTATATATGATATATTTTAAATATTATTTACTATTCTATCTATAGCACTTCATTTAATATTTGATACATGGTACCCTTGAATTTGCAGGTTGCTAAGGAAAATGGCACCACTTTGCCATCACCAGGATTGTTCATTACCAGATATCACTCTTTCTATCGTAAGAATATTTTTCATTACATATATGCTATCTTTCTTTGTAAACTTGTGCTATAACTCGCATTCTCTGTCCAGAAAACATAATTACTGAAACTTATAACCTTGCAGCTTTACACAGAGAAGGTGCATATACACACTTGATGAATGAAGAAGATGTTGAGAATTTGAAGTGGCTAAGCATATTTAAGTATGCTTTTTTTTTTTATATTTATATTTTAATTTCAATAAATCTGTTTGTTTATTCACATCTTTTACTGCTGCTTACAAAATTTATAATAAAATTTTGTACAGCAAATATGATCTCTACAGCAAGAGCAAAGTTCTAGTTGATGTTGAAGAAGTCAAGCCATACTATCTATCACTAATTGAGAAGGTGTGATCAATTTTGGATGATCTTCACTATTTGGTCAATTTGATTTTTTTTCCCTATTGTTTTTCTATATGTGGGGTTCTTATTTTTATTTTGGCCATGTTTGCAGTATTTCCCAGCAAAGCTTAGATGGTGAACCTTGAAGATTAGGGATCTTAGGTAAAGAGTCTGAAGGAGATTAATTTTTAATTGTTCTGGCAAAAAACCACAAACCCCAATTCATATAGGCTCCCCGCTATGCTAGAGGAGGAATGAGGGTCAATAGTATACAGCTTACCCTTAACTTGGGCCCTAATTTTCCATTTAAAAAAAATATAGATATAATTTTATGTGATTTACGTTTCCTCCAAGGTTCAAATGATTGTTTGTGTATGATACTCTTTTTTATAATACTTTGTATATGATTGACCATAAATTATATATTGAATAATAAACAGTACTGCTACATATAGAAGCCAAAAGAATAGTTCCATTCTATCCAAACGGATAATAATAATAATGAGTATTATGCTGCTTATTTACTTGGGACAAATGTATTTGCAATACAAAAAGAAACAAATATGGAAAGAAATAATTTGTTTTTCCAGAGAATAATATAAATTATTAAAATAACTCTCATCCAACATCTTAAAATTTTAAGTTGAGGTGGTTTTTTACATATTATTAGAGCTTCAGTAACCACAAGGGCACGAGTTCGATCCCCACTACTTCCCGTTTCTGAAATTAAATAAGCATAATAAGGTAAACCAAAATTTGGACGTATAATGCACGTTTCAAGCCCAAAAAACTCTTGTATGAGGTCCTATTTCTGAAATTAAATAAGCATAATAAGGTAAACCAAAATTTGGACATATAATCCACATTTCAAATCTAAAAAACTCTTATATGAGAAAATATTAGAGAATAATATAAATCATCTCCCTACACTTTAAAATTTTGAGTTAAAGTAATTCTTTACACCACATCCTTTCCCAAGTCCCAACCCCGAAAAGGACTAAAACATATCAACTTGTGAAATGTCAAGTAACTAGGCTTTCGTTTATTTGATTGCTAAATCCCCCCTTTCCCACAGAATCAAGTTAGGTGTCAGCAGAACCATCATCATTGATCTGCTATAATAATATTTTTCTCAACCTTCTGGACTTCATATTTGATTTTTATTTTGTTCTTCTATAATTTGCACCTTACGTTAATATATGTCAACTTGACTCGGAACACGGGATACGAGATACAGTACGACACGATACTTCGATACGTTAATTCTAAAAAATATTAAATTTTGACACGTTAGGACACATTTTGATATTAAATATTATTTTTAATTTATGTAATGTATATTATATTTAATACTCAATAATTTAACAAATAACTTATTGAGTTTGTTTTTTCTAAAGTTACTTTAGATAATTTTATCTAATGTTCACCGAAACGACGTCGTTTTGGGACGGAAATCATGGTATTTTTATAATTTTAATTTATTTCAGGGTTATAATAGTCTTTATCATTCTAATTTTTTTATTTTTCAACTATAAAACGACGTCGTTTCATTGAACATTAGACAAAGTTGTCTAAAGTAACATTAGATACTTTTTTTCCAAACTTATAATACCCATCAATTTTGCAAAGAAACCTAAGATATCTCAAATATTTATATTAAACTCAACAAAATGATAATCATAATCCAACGAATTTAATAATTGAAACTAAAAACGCAACACAACGTAACCTTTGAACATTTATTTGAGTCTCTACAACGCGTGTTGGAGAGTCAAGAGTGTCGGAGTATCGAGAAATATCGGACACGACACGTCAAGATTTTAGAAGTGTCAATATTTCATAGTCAACCGACTCCACTGAATTTTAGCCCACATATGACAGAACTTTAAAAGCATGCACAGCAAAAAAATTAAAAAAAATTAAAAAATAAAATAAAACAGAGTATCACCCAAAAGACATGAATTTGTTGTCAACTATGCTTATTAACCTTATTTTCATTTTGCTAGAAGACACGAATTTGTTAAATAATAAATTTGTTTTTAATTTGGTCCAAATATGTTTACAAATTGTTTAACCAAAAATCTAGAATAATCTATTCTAGATTTTTCAATGAGAATTTTAAATTAGTTACACCTATAATTAATATTTGGCTTAGGAGATTGTGAAATTTTTCAGAGAAACACTTGCAGCCTTTAGACGAGAAATGTATTAGTACAACCCTATGTGCCGTTAGTATAAATAGATATGTTCTCCACACAAAAAAAATATAAAAAAAAATAGGTATGTTCTCTATTATTTTATCTAAAGACAAAAACAAAAATAGTACTGAGTAGAAATAAAAAAAAAAAAAAGTCTCTTCCATCAATGTCTTTTTAAATTTTCTCCTTAGCATGTACCAAAAAAGAATATTCTCCTTTTCGAAATATACTTCAACAAAATTGACCAATGTACTCCCCATACGCTGAGCTAGGAATGTTAACGGGCCGAGCCGAGCCGAGCTTTGGTCTTAAAAGACTAAGCATGTGTTTAAATGTGTCAGTCTGATCAAGCTTGTTACCTGTTATGAATATAATTTCAGCCTGTGACCTGTCTTATTTACAAAAAATAAAAGCCTGGTTTAGCCTGTTTAAAAAAAATAAGACAACAAAAATTTATCCAAACAAAATATACAATCAACAACACTAGTAATTTCATAAATATTTATACATTTAATGTATATCCAAACAGCATAATATAAAACAAAATCTTTCAAAAAGTTTGTTTAATTAATAAAATGGATGAAATGGATTGAGGAGAGAGAGAGGGCTATCACAAGTAGTATAAAAAATATAAAATAAAATAAAAATTAATATATTAGGCCTGAGAGGCTCTAAGGCCGAGCTTTTGAATTGGAGCCTGATGCCTTTTTATTAAACGAGCTTTTATACAAGTTCAAGCTTGGTTTCAACAATTAATTTTAGACATGTAAGCTCAGGCCTTCACGAGTCGAGCCAAAGGCCCCTGTAAGGCCTCTAGTTCGTTTAAGCCCCTGGAAATACTTTTGACATCTCACATTGTTTGAGGAATTCTAGGAAAAATGCATATAATATGACTTTCACATTGTTTGCATGCTGTACATATGAAAGTTGTTGAACAAGTTATTAAACTCAACATTATTTGTTTTCATTGTTGTTTTTGCTCTTTTATGTTCTTATATTACTCCATAATAGTTTGTCACAGACTAACATCGGAGCAATTTTATAAGCAAATAAAATTCTTATGTTCATGTATGTGTGGTTTTGTCTGTCTTATTATGAAGGCTGCTTTAGTTGCAGGGTGTAAAAATCTAAATTCTTCTTACTCTCTGGCCTCGTGCTAAACACCACCAGTGATCTATTATGCTTTATGTAGAAGCTTGCGCATGTTGGATCACCATATTTTTCTTTAGGTGATGTTGAAACACGCATTTGAGTATTTGTATTAGAGTATTTGTATATTGGTGTATTATATATTTTGTGCCAACTTTCTCTTTTTGCTTTCTATTGGAAGAAATGTGAAATGGGATGATCAATTTATGACTGAATACAGATTGATTGATTTCTAACATTTTTCCTTAAGATAAGTGTGTTGTATAGAGCAAGATTTTGTTATCTCGCCAAATGTGAATCAGGCTCATTTTTTTATTTTAAATAAAAATAAATATTAAAGATGGGTTGGTCCTACTACCCATTGGCTTTTCATTTTTATGGACTTTTTCTTGTGAATTTTAAAGCTCTGGTCCATGTGAGTTAGGATTTAGTGGGGTGGGCTAACTCATATTAGTAGCTCTAGCTTAAATTGATAAGAGAGGGAATGTAGCCATGTATAATGACCAACCATCTAAGGGTTGAGGTTGATTGTGAGGTGTCCAGTGTTTTTGACGCACAGATAAGCACCAATCCAACCCTCCAAATGGGAGAACTTCATGGATTGAAGGTGAAATTTTGTTACTACATAGCTGGCTAAACCTGCTTTTAGCGCATTTTATACCTCTGTTTGGTACCTTAGAAATCATTTTCACACCTCTATTTCGTACTAAAAATTCTTTTGTCATGTTGCAACTCTAAAAAAAATCCCTATATATCTTTAACCGTTGTATCTACATTTTTTTTTCCAATCGATTTATCGATTATTTAACTAGTCGAGTTCAAGCATTATTAAATTTACATTGGGGACAATTTTTCCATAATCATTTTTTTATTCACAAAACTCGAACTCAAGATCTTCAATTACAGACAATAAGTTCTTACATTATTTTTATTTTTCTGAGGCTGATTTATGGTGCTTCTAGTGTTGATAGTTTATTAACTATTAGCTTTACACTCAAATATACTTTAACTGTCAATTTAATCTTAGAAAAAAAAATACATTAGTAATGTGAATTAAAAATATGTGTTTTCATTTCAAAAGGCAGGATCATTATTAATACTACAGAGGAGATAGCTGCAAGGGTACTAGCAGTGGGCAAAAATCAAAAGGGTGATATATGTGCACGGAAAGAGAGAATATGATTTTAAAAATATAAATAGTTTAACTCTTTATCTATAGAGTGTTTACATGAAGATTGAAAGGTTTGGATAGGATTCAAACCTTTTAATGGATAAAGTCTCTTATCCATGATTCATATTTTGAATTGAGATTAACTTAACTCTTAATTCCTAGAATTTATGAGACCCATACATTATCTTGGTCATAACAAAGTACAATTGTGATAACTCTTAAATTTGAGCAAAAAAAGGGTTGTCATGACATGAGGGTAAAGTGTTGTAACGCCATATCTGCATTCGGTTAATTAACATTTATATGATATTAGGCGCAACAAATTTTAACTTATAAATGCGGAAGTTCTTTTCTAATTCACTAGACTAGACCTAGTATAAAAATGTGATTAACTTTTTATTTTTCTTTATGTATTGCAATCTTTATCGCCTCTTTGGTCAAAATGAAACAGATGGTGTTTCATCTGTATTTTGGACCATTGGAAGTGATTCCCATTATGATAATCTCAACCTGACTAACATTTTAACAAAACTCAGGTATAAACATACATACATGAATCATATTGCCCAACCATCCATGGCATAGGCTATCTCATAATCACCCTATCTCAAAATAAAGTCC